TTTAAAAATTTTAAAAAAGTGCATAAATATGCATCTAAACCCCTGAAATAAAGAATATCATTAATACTTGTAATAAAAAACAATAAATTATTAAAAAATAAATAAAAATTTTAAATAATGTTCGTTGTAGGAGTTTCGTTCGTTATAGCATTCTCAATTTTATAAGTAAAACCGTTCGTTATAGGAATATTCGTAGTAGGATCCATTCGTTATAGCATACCCCACTGTAGTTATTTAAATTTTGATATATTATTAGGGGAGCTTTTCTAAAAACACTTCTAAGTACAGCTATTTATTAGTTAACTGAATGGCATGGACACATAAATAGGTCATTATATTGACGTTATTAGACGACTCTCGGACACAAACATGAAATGGATACACTTCCCACCGTAAGTAACTCGCCCTATGGATCCCCCTGACAATGACTCGCCTGTGACCTGAGGGAAGCCCAGCAGCTGAGGACTCTGTCTGCAAGGCCTAGTACTGCTGGGGCGAGTGATCCTGGCGGGCACTGGACTCTGTCTCCTGTGGGAGACTCGGTGCTGGAAAGGAAGTCCACCTCCTGACCTCGACTTGTGACGAGTGTGACTCCGTCTACCTCAGAGTTCTGTCTCTCCCTTTCTATCTCATGGAAGGAGCTGTAGGCCCCTTATATTGTAGGTATTGGGCCCGCAGATGTCTCTTCTTAATTAACACTAATCTGGGTGTGTTTGATCAGGTGCGCGGTCATGTTACTTATCTTGGTATGCCGGTCGGCAATGTTTCTTTATTATTACCCTGGGTGTGTCTGGCCAGGTGTCAGGTTACTGGCTGGAAGGCAGTTTCTTAAATTAACAAGGTCAAGTCGCCGGTTGGCAGCAAGAACTCTTTCCCTTAGTGACTCTAATTACATACTGTAGGGTGGGTCAATTTATGTGGGTGTACAACTGCTCTACTGTTATATGTGTTGTTCTTCTCTGGGCTCTAAGCTATGGTCTGATAAACAATCATTACACCTCCTGCCAAGACCAAAGCTTCCATACCAGAGAACTGATGACACATATAGACAGTGATCATGGTAATATCATGTGCAGTATTTAGAATATCCCACTGAGACGATTTTGCAACCTCACATTCTACAAACAATTATCGCCACCTATCGGTAGCACTTCCCTCATAGTTACTGGTATGTATGTTTTTCTACTGGCTTGGTTTAGTCTGACAAAAATCACTATACCTCCAGCCAAGATCAAAGCTTCTATGCCAGGAGAAAAGACACATACACTGAGTGACCATAGTATGAGCTCAACTAGGATAGTTAATGAGCTAAAAAGATCCTACATATCTAGAATAGTATCTGAAGAAAACTATAATTTCACATTTTACAAATTATAGTGGGTGTTGTATGGCCTTGCCAGCCCAATCAGCAGTATGGCTACAACATTTCATTAGATAGTACAAAACAAGTGACTTATCTTTCTTAAATAATAAAAAAAAAATCCTCTGTGGTAAATGTTATCAGGTGTCACAGAATGAAATACTGTACGGAATTATATAAAAAAAATGTGCCGCCTTTCACATATTAGGGTGTTTTTTTTGTTTTGTTTCTCCAAACATTATACATACACAACAACAATACAGGTACTCCTCGACTTAAGGCAACCCAGACATACGACCGCCGTGGTCTGGTAAAATATTTATCAAATTACGTATTTTCAAGTCCCAACGTTAGTGATCGTGCTGTGTACTGACAAATTTTTTTTTTTTTTTTGTAATTCCCTTTAAAATGGCTGGCAAGCTTAAAAGTGAGAGTTCTCGTGGTGCTGAGAAGAAAAAGAGACACCCATTTTAAAATTTCTATGTATTATTTTCGCCTTATCGACTTAAGACCAATTCGACTTACGGCCTGGTTGTCGGGACAGAAACCCGTCATAAGTCAAGGAGAGACTGTACAGTGAGTTCTGCTATAACGCGTGTTTTGATAACGCGAATTTGCTCTAACGCGTTTTATGAATAGAGGAACGATATTTGTATAACGCGAACGCTTGTTTGCTGTAACGCGATTTTTGCTTACTATTTCTCTAATTTTGTGGTATTAACTGTGAATATGGTAAAGAAGAATATCTCCAAGAAGCGTTCTGGTGATCGAATTCCCGGTGATGATCGTAAAAGAAAGGATATAACACTTGAAGAGAAGTTCGATGTTATCAACCTCAAAATCACCCTTCTCCCCCATCAAGTTATATTCATATTTTTTCAAGATAAAGTGTTACATTTACTGTATGATTTCATTATTAGATATGAATGTAACATTTATTTAGACTGCTATCCTTTGTGTTAGGCTAACTACTAATTTTTTTTCGATTTCGAGTAGTAATCTGCACCTAATCCTATTTTCTCCATAAGCTCTGTTATTTCTATTACGCGATTTTCTATAACACGATATTTTACAAGAACACAACTATCACGTTATAGCAGAACTGACTGTACAGTAGTGTGGCCCAGCATGGCTCACCATCTCCACCAGCTGATATCAAGGATGCTGGCAGTACAGCAGCGGTGGTAGGTTGGTTCTTCCAATGTTCCACCTCAACATCGTCGAATTTCTTCTGATGTCAGCACAGCACGTCTTAGGTTCTTCTCTCTTCACATTGTACGTTTTCTTTCTTCAGTAACTCACCTTGTATGTCCTGTCTCCACACCTTGTATGTCCTGTCTCCACACCTTGCACGTTTTCTTCCATCTGTTGTTATCACCACACCTTCTCACTTCCTCCTGGTGGTTTATAATCCAACTTTCCTCTTGCATTAGTTTCTATCATTCTTAAGGTGGGTTTTCCAGTTCCATCTGAGTTTCTTCTATGTTTAAGCATCATCTATTTCTATATTTTCTTATCTTCGTCTTCAGTAATTCCGCCAATCCGGCCGGGGGTAGCCGGTCACACTGGGATGGGTGCCATCACTGGACGACGTGTGGGGCAGGATCAGCATCCCAGTACCCGATCTCGGTACTAGAGCTGCACAGGCACCGGTCCGCCCTGTCCCACGGACCCTCGGTGGAAATCCCCTCCTTGGTTTGGCCGGCCAGGGTTTAACGTGTGGTGCTGCAGGGTCCACCTCGTCACAGCCTCGTTCCGTACGTCTTGACTGCCTAAAGTAAAAAGAAAGTATAAAATCTCCTTAATCCTAGTCCAAGGGAGGACTTGAGAGAAGTGAAGTGCTGCATTCATCACGCTGCTTTTCCCTCTGTTCGTATATGCTGTTCCAGTTCCTTATGGTTGGAGTCAACGGCCCATCGTCACCTCTTGATTGCTGCTGTCGTCCAAGGGTTTGCATCTTGTGACATAAGATGCTGTCATCCTGCCCAATCACTGCATACAGCTTGGCCATGCGACGTCAGGTCATACCCAAGTGAGCTAGTTATCTCCAACGTCTGGCTGGCCATGGGGCGGTACTGTGTGTGACATTTGACAGAGAAAGACTATCCTAAAGGGATGATGGATTAGTTGGAAGTGCATCCATTAAAAAAAAAAAAATTACTTTATACATAAAGTCAATGTTTGGCAACTATGAGTTCCATTGAGACAATGTTCTCATTAGGCTGGTTTGGGGAGTGTAGCTTAGCTCACTACAGCTGGACTGTTTGTCAGCATGTGTCAGGGTGCATTATAAATCATTCTAACATAAAAATACACTGAGTGAAGCTCTGCAAGTATCACCATATCAATTACATAAACCATCAATTTCAAAGCATAGCTTACAGGACAACACAGACTGGAAATGAGTGAGGTCACACGGGGCGGGGCAATGGAGGCAGGTGGGCAGACATGCCGGGTGGGGTGGGGTGGAGTGGGGATGGTAGGGTGAGGCAGGTGGAGTGTGATGAGGAGTTACTTTACCTGTAATCTGTTATTATTTAAACACTTATTTAATGAACAAAAGCTTTCATTACATTTAACCTTTTCCTAATCATTAGCCACTCGGCACTCTCGGTACGAGTTACTTCACTGACTATAAATTCAAGCCAATAAGTACATCATTACATAAACTATCTTACTCTTTTTGCTGTAATGCAACTTTGACATGCTTGCCCAGTCTCAGAACAAAGCCGGTTGTAACTAAGTCATCAGTAATGGGCACAGTGGAAGGAGGACCCTTTGTCCGTACAGACTGACCTCACCTTCACAATAAGGGAAGTTTACTGGGAGGTGGTTGGGGAGATTAGGACAGGGAGGAGGATGTAGGTTATAAGACATGTTAGGTTCTTACGGTTAGTATAGACACAGCTTCCATCGCTAAAAACAATGGGTACGTGTAGCACTGACCTACGATTACCATGTACTGTGGACATTTAGAACAGTACAAATCGCTGGGGTTAGTGACACATTAATTATATAAAGCACTGAACATATTCCGTGGAGTGTGTTATGCTAGTAGCAATTTGCACATACAACGATAAAAAACATTTACTTGCGTTGTTAAGATGACATACTAGGGCACTTTTCATGCTGTATTACTCAGGGTTCCTTATTGCACATGGTTAAGCAATACATTACTCAAATTGAATTACATATTTCAGCGGGCGTTCGTAATGAAGATTGTGTAACTTGAGTGCTTGTTTCACATTATATACTCCTTTTGGGGGGCTCATGTTGAGAACCACATGGAGTTTCTTTCCACCTCTATCCTTGAAGATGCAATACTTTGCTTCTGATTCACAGGTTGCTTTAAACTATTGTCATGATATAAATGTTGATATAATCTTGAAGAACTATTTCATAATAGCCAGTGAGGAGCAACTCAGATACCACTCACCTCCCTGGTATTATCAAGGAAGTCGGCAGAAGTGAAGGATTTGTTATAGCGAGATTGGTCAGTGAAATTGTCCAAGGTGACATTCTGGTTGAATAACCTTATAGGCCTCTTGAACATAAAATGGGATTTTGTGCTTTATTCTTTTTTTGTTATTTTTTATTGTTGTTATTATTAATATTATTATTTGACTGTTTTACTCTCTAGGTATCCGCCCATATGAGTGTCGAATCTGTGAGGCAGTTTTCACACGTCAGCATTCTTTAAACTACCACATGCTGATCCACACCAACCAAACCCGGTTTACATGTGAGGACTGTGACCGCAAGTTTCGCCATCCTTCACACTTCAAAGAACACCGCCGGCGTCATACTGGGGAGTCTCCTTATGAGTGCTCAGATTGCCTTATGAGGTATTTTGTGAATACTTGTACTAGTTTTATATTATCCTTCCTATTCAGTGTTCAGATTTTCATATTGGTGTCTGTTGTCTAAAATGATTCACAAAGAAAAAGTGGCCACATGTAACTGAAGGGAATTTATAGGATAAGTACAGGAGTCCTCATTATATGTTGGGGATATGTTCCAGAAAAAAAGCAGTTTATAGTGAAATGGTTTATAATGAGGAATTTTGCCTCACAAGAATGAATGTAATTTGGGGTATATGTGATATGACATGTACAGTAATACCCCTTGATAGCTCAGGATGTGTACCTAGAGAGAGAAAGCTTTCAGCAAATCAGCTTACATTGGGTCGCTGTAACATACTGTATAATAATTGATATGGAGACATATCTTTGAGTGATACATGATGGCTTAATTTGTCTACTTGTACACTTAGACAACTGACTAATGAATAAACCAGGGAATACACAGATGCATAATATATTAGAATATTATTTATCAAGTGCTGAGAAATACAGTACAGTGTTATTAACTATGTACTAATGACATTTGTGGTGAGCATGAGAGATAGAGAGCGCTGGCATCATGGTTTGTAATCAAAGCACCGGGAATTTAATATTGATGTAATAACTCAGCTGGAGTTGAGTGTTTTTTTTTTGGAGGGGGGGGTTCCGGGAAAAATTATTATTTTACATTAATACTTTATTAACCTGGCACCAAATGAACCTAAGTAATATGGGTATTATGGTGAAATTACATACTGTCGTGTTGAAGGGGTTGTAGGCTTAATGGAGCGGAGGAAGGGATTTGTCTCGGTATTCCAGCCACTCACCCACCCTAACTCCCACCTCACCCACCCTAACTCCCACCTCACCCACCCTAACTCCCACCTCACCCACCCTAACTTCCACCTCACCCACACAGAATTCACTTCTCTTCTCCATTTTTTTTATTATTATTATTATTATTATTATTCATTTTCTATATTTCTAAGTCGCATTAGAGCATTGAAATGATACTTCCAAAAATTTTACGGTTTCTTATGTAACAGTACCACATGCACAGCCTTCTCACAGCTAACAAGTACCTATGTTTTATGGTGATATCTTGACTTATATTCTCCCAAGCACAATACAGTGATATCCCCATTAGCCGTAACAATTGGTGCAGAGCACTTCTGTGGACGAGAGATTTCCGGCTAACCGGACGACTTTCTCAAACCCGGAAAAATCCCCCATCCCCGGAAATATTTCCGGTTACTGGAAAAACTTTCTGAGTGTTTAAACTATGTATCTTGCACAGACAAACACGATCCCACATCCTCAGAATGTTTCTTTGTGCTGGGTGTTAGAGCAAAGACTGGTATTTTCCACTCCCTTGGGGCTGTGGGGGATTAGTGGATCTCATGTACCTGACCTGACACAATGTCAGGTGGAGGTAGGGTGGGGTATTGTTGGTCTCATATAGCTGACCTGATACAGGACCTGAAGATGTCTTGAATAAACATGAAAGCTAAAATACAGTATTTTTTATACTTACACTTATCACATTGTATACCTTCAACATTGCGTTACATAAGATTTTAAAATGTGGATTGAGAAAGCTGAAAGGTGTGGGTGATTGGAGAGATAATGGAAACCATTCATAAATTTATGTCATACAATATGGGGGTTTTAGGTGTCTGGGTGTGATGTTGTGGTATTAATTAATAAATAAGCAATATTGCATTGTCATTGACAGTCATTTGAAAAGTAGCAGCGTACTACAATTATCACAACTATTCATCAAACTACTGTACAGTAGTACCCCGATTTACGCGGTCAATTGAACCCACAGGGTACCGCGGAAAGTGAAAACCGCGTAAAGTGAACAACAGAACATATGGGATTAATTCCAATAGAGATTGGCCCGACCCCCAAACTCCACTTTTTCCGACACAATACCTATGTTGTATTAAAAATAACATCTTAATTTTATGATGGTATGCACACACAATTAATATTTAAGAGAAATACAGTCGTCAGGTTAATGTCCATTCAAATAATGGACTCAAATCTACCCTCCCCCTCCCTCTTCCCAGCTCACTAGCTCCTACCTCTCTGAGAAATGTTTGGGTGAAAACACTAGATTTTAACGTTTAGTAATAAATAATACCTCAGACTAAAGTTAGGATAATATAATTGACATTTCTGGATTCCTTGCAGGTCAGGGAATATTTTGAATGTAAACTTCATATATTTTGCACAAAAGATAAAATATTTGCTTTGTGTAAACCAAATTATTACATTAGATCTAACATTTGTAAGTCTAATGCAAAATCCATGATGTTTATATTCAAAATGATCATCATATTGTAAGAATTCCAGCAATGTAAATTATATTCTGGCCGGGTAATTTGTATGAATTTTATGAGCTAAATAAAAAAAAAAAATTATGCTTCACCGCGTATATGAGTAGATATATATGAGTAGATGCACCGCGGAAAGTGAAAGTCGAAAGTCCGGTTCTGGCAAGGTACCGCGTAAATAAGAAATCGCGGAAAGTGAAACCGTGTAAACGCTGGGTAATACTGTACTGTCATTAACAATACAATATTGTTTATTATTCATTAATTATTACCACTACACCACATCATACATATAGTCTTTTGTGTGAGACACTGTGAGTTTGAGGGAGGCAAGGTGCTGGCAGGGGGAGGCAAGGTGCAGGCAGGGGGCAGGGAGAGGTGACACACACACTCTCCAACATTTATTATTATATTTTCTCATATGATCAGCCTCTTATGGTGTGTGTTTTATCATGGTTAATATAAAATATTAAACACATTAGAAAAAATACGATGTATAATTATTAATTTGACGTCAAAATTACATGACAAGTCGAATGATAAGGCAATATTTTCACCCAGACCTCTCTACTGGGAGGGGGAGTAGGTGGCGGGTTAGCTTAACCATTGCCAAATTTACCAGTTTTTTTATTTAATCATTACAGTACTGATACATTATAAAAAGTATTGTATATGAAGGGTACAAGTATTAATAAGCACAGAATATTACAGTAAACATATCTTTATTAATTAATAAATAAAAAAAGTACAGGGGGTAATTTTTTTTTTTTACAATAGTAAAGGCAAGCACGGGGAGACGACGAAGAACTTTTTTGGGGCGTGTGCAGTCAGTTCCCCTCCCTCCCTCCCTCCTCACCTTCTTACTCCTTACAGAATTTTAAATTAAAGAAAACATATAGTTTGTATAATGAACATCCTCATAAATTACCGACTCATGAATTATAGGAATAGAATTAGGTGCGTACAGTACTGTACTTACTTGAGGGTGTCTTGGTACAGTAATGTGTGGTACACAAACAATGGCCACTGCTATGTGAGGTAGTGTATATACTGAGTTCATGCAATGTTAATTTCCAGTAAAATTATACTCGTACACTGAAATCACTGTTGATGTCTTAACACAGCTTAAATGCTGTGTTTTAGGTTGATTGTGTCCTATGTACAGCAATTGTACAGTACTGCACAAAAAACTACACAAAACAGAAGTGAGCAACAGATGAACCTTGTAGGGGGACTGGTGACAAAGAATTATGCACTGAGCCTGCTCTGAGGCTAGCCTGAGGTGAGGGGGGGGGGTTCATCTAAAGATGCATCAGCCAATTACAGATGTCCCATGAGGTGACATGACTGCAATAACCAATCATTGCGTGCGAGCCTATGACCTAAGTTCCCTCGAGCGTCTCAGCCTCATGCCACCCATGCACAGAGGACCCGAGACTCGGGAACATGACGCATTATTTCTATACTTGTTATAGTACGTACAGTATTTAATATTTTATATTATCAATGATAAAATAGACACCGTAAGTGGCTGATCATACAAGAATACGGTGGTCCCTCGATTAACTAACGGTTCAATTAACGAAATTTCGGGTAACGAATTACCTCCCCTAAGGATTTTCAGTTCCATTAATGAACAAAACTTCAATTAACAACAGCCCTACGAGAAACGCGCTTTGTTGTGCGCATCAGCTGATCGGCTTGTCTGCCAATACACTAATTGGTTCTATGTTTGCATTCTTTTCCAGTGGAGTAAATATCAAGAAAGTTGGTCTCTTGAACATTTGCATTCTTTATATTAAAATTATTGGTCATTCTAAAATTTAGTTAACATATTGATAATATATACAGTACAGAGAACAGTTTTTGTGTGCCCTTGAGCTGATTGAATCACCCACTAACGCTTCTCAGTTTTACAGTGGAGTGAACATCGAATTTGTTGGTCTCTTGAATATTTTTGCATTTTTACATTAAAATTATTGCTCATTCTGAAATTTAGTTAACATATTGATAATATACAGTGCAGAAATTATCATGAAACATGAAGAAGGCATTAGAACCAATGCACTCTGTAAAGAATATGGCATGTCATCATCGACTGCCTCTACAATCAGCTGAGTTTATTTATGAGTGTTTGTTTTAACATAATAATACAAAAAACAATGTTTTGTTTATTCTAGGAGATGGGCTGAGGTGCATCTACGTAGACTCTCAGTCTTTTAAGTATTTTGTGTTTCTCTCAAGTACCAAACTAAATTATTCCATTGAAACAACACTTTGATTTAGTGTGAATTTGGTTTAAAGTGACCTCTCTTGGGAAGTGTCTCGCGTTATATCAACGTTCTACTGTATAGGGTTTTAGTAGCGAAACCCAACTGTCTTTCTTCTATTTATTAAGAAAATATATTATACTAGCAGAATCGCCGCCCTCCGGGTGGCTCATCCGCTAGGCAACGGTAGGACGCCACCCTCCGGGAGGCTCCACATTCTCACTGTTCATTCACCAAAACTTCTTCATCCATCAATAGTTCATTAACGGTGTATATAAGTTCCACCATGTTTTTCACTACAACAGTACAGCAAATTATATTTTTTTAGCATTAAACTGTTATTATTTTATTGTTTAATCATCACTACATATAACACCATCCATCATCACTC